TCTTAGTTGTAATTCAGTTTATCAGATACATTACTATCACCTGGATAAGCTAAGGAAATGGAACACAGGCAGGTAAATGATAACGGACCAGGATCACTGGAGGTGGAGAGAATGATCATTTGGAGAAAAGCAGATGATGGCACCTCATGGAGCCCCTAGGAAGCCCCGAGGAAGCCTGAGGGCACTGGTTACTGATCAGAGAGCTCACCCTTTCACTTGGGGCCAGCTAAAAAAATATTTTCCCTCTTAAATGTGACTACCAAGGCTTGTGCCAGAGTGAATATCAGGAAAGCATCTGTTTGGTTTTGTTCGGTCAGTGAACCATGTGGCAGGGTGCATTTAGGTAAAGGGGGCTGCTGCTATTGCCCCCACGCTAAGAGCATGTTCACTAAACTGCATCCAGTTAGATCCCCTCTGCTAAGTGCCCAGGGACACATCTGGCTTCATTTGAGCACTGAAGGCAGTTTCATGCTTTGATTATCAAGAATTTTGCCACACGAAGCATGTTGGCTTAAAAAAAAAATCACATTTAGCATAAAAGTCAAGCCAAAGACTCCATTGAGCATTTCATGCTCTTTTCTTTGACACTTTCCTACTAAAAAGTAGCCTTCGGTTAAGAGCAACAGGTTTGTGTGTCCTTAGAGACCAAAAAGGTAACATTAATGAAAAAGTAAGCCAGGTAAAAGAAAAATGTTAATAAAAGCATAAATACAGGATTTAGTTTGCCTTCCTCTTTAATCTGAGCATAGCATCTCTACAAGCACAACAAAAAAGGACACTGAAACCAGCCTTGCAGCAGAGAAGGCAAAAGGGAGTAGTGAGCATGATGGAAATCAGGAAAGAGAGAGAGCATACCCAGTCCAAGGGGACAAAGAGCAGGGGGTCTCCACGCAGGTGCTGGATTGCTACATTTCTGCTTTGTCAAGAGAACCTGCAAATCCAGATTTTAATGTGAAGTTTCCTATTTTTTCCCCTAATTTGTAATTGTGGCATAACCCACATAGCATAAAAATTACCATTTTAACCATTTCTGAGAATATAGTTCAGTAGTCTTAGTATATTCACATTGTTGTACAACCCATCTCCAGAATTTTTTCATCTCAAGAAACTGAAACTCTGTACCCATTAAAAAACAACTCCCCATTTTCCCCCCTTCCCCCAGCCCCTGGCAACCTCCATCCTACTTTCTGTTTCTATGAGTTTGACTACTCTAGATACTTCTTGTATTCTGTAAGTGGAATCACAGAATATTTGTCATTTTGTGACTGGCTTATTTCACTTAGCATAATGTCCTCAAGGTTCATCCATCCATGTTGTAGCATGTGTCAGAATTTTCTTCCTTTATGAAGCTGAATAATATTCTATTATATGTATATGCTACATTTTATTAATCCACCCATCCATTGACGAACACTTGGGTTGCTTCCACTCTTGGTTATTGTTAATAGTGCTCCTATGAACATAGGCATGCAAATATCTGTATGAGTCTCTGCTTTCAACTCTTTTGGGTATATGCCCAAAAGTGGACTTGATGGATCATGTGGTAATTCTATGTTTAATTTTTTGAGGAACTGCCACACTGTTTTCCACACCAGCTGCACCATTTTACATTCCTACCAACAGTGCATAAGGGCTTCTCTTTCTCCACATCCTTGCTCCTGGTTTTTTAATGTTGCAACTAATTCGAGTTTTTGTCCAAATACCACTCAGCCACACAGTTCAGACCAAGTAAACACTGTCCATAACCTGGAACTGTCCTGTGCACAGAGACAAATGTCCACAAGCCTCTGGAAGAATGCATGCTCCTTAATCTCCATCAATAACAAATGATTCTAGATGACATCATTTGTCAAGGCTGATGCTAGCACATCATGCAGCTTTGGGTGGAAGAACCTCTCATCACCCTACTCTTCTACAGAGTGAAACCCTTGTACCATAATCTGACATTATTTTTTTTTCCTCTCAAAAAACATTTGATAGTAACAGGAAAAAAAATCCAAGGAAAAGATGTTGTTTCTGCGTGGATCTGGTTCATGAATACCCAGCATTCCTGGTCAAGTTCATCTGAGAAAAATAGTCTTTCTCCTAAGCAAATGTATGTCACTCCCTTCTATGGTCTTTTGTGGATCTTGACTGAATTGCATCTTGCAGCTGAGACAGGGAAAATGCTGCCTCCCTAGTCCATTTCCTGCTTGTATTTTATGACTAAAATTCATTTCTCAAATTATCTGAAGTCCCATGCTGATACAGCATAGTGTTAGGTGAGGTTTGTAAGTTTGTTTGGTCACTTGAGAAAAATGTGTAAAATGTAGACGTAATAAGGGACTAATAATCCTTTCTTCATCTTTTTATACATCTCAAAGTAGGCTGAAATGCAGGACAAACTCAAAGGCAGGTAGGGAGGTTCAGTGCTTGTCATTTTCTGTCCTTTGTTCAGCTTCATGGAACATCTGTATTCCCGAGAAATAGCATTTCCTGTGATAGAGGAGAACTAGCATTTGGAAAACTATTTAAAGGAATACGTATATACAATTCTATTTGAGGAAGGCTATAGGAAAAATGTCTGCTTATGATTTAATGGGCTGTACTTAGAGAAAGGAGGTTTCTAAATCTTTATCTCATTCTTCCTTTAGGAAAGAGCCATATATAAAGTTGGGCTACTTCGGAGATACACTGGGCAGGTCATGAATAATCATGATTACAATATGCCACAGGAATTAAATCCTATAATAACCAATTCTGACAAGATGAGCATTGCAAATATAATCATCTTTCCTTACAGGGGGTCACTGCTCTTGTATATAGTTCCTCATAAGCAGTCCCCAGATGATTCTACATGGTAGAGGAGCCTCTTCACTAATGTAAGAAGAACAGAAGGAAGGAGGGAGGAGAAGGGAAGGGAGAAGAGGGAAGAAGGAAATGCATATTTTTAAAACACTTAATATAAGTGAGGCATGTGCAAAATGCTTTAGGTGTATTACTTTATTTATTCAGTACTTACAACAGCCTTGTGAGATAGGGTCTCATCTCTATTTTACAAAAAGAAAAACCTTAGTTTTTAAAGTCAGAGGTTAACTGACTTATCCAAGTCATACAGCTAGTAAGTGGTTAGTCTGGGATTCTGTGCCAGGCTCAACATTTTTGGCACAGAACTTCTTTGCTGAGATGGTTGGTGGGTCCCCAAGTTTACATAAACAAGACCAAGGAGATGGTGTAGTCACCTGAAAATACTCAGGATAAATCTCTGCTCTTGGCACCCACTCTGGCACTGGCCTTTCTTCTCTGAAAGACAGCATCTGTCCATATCATTTAGAAGGAAATCTAACAACTGCATGAAAACACGGGGATGTAAAAGGAGAAACCTCAACGACTTGATACCAAATTTTGAAGGCTGTCAGGTGACTAACAGCTAGAACGTTTTCAATGGAAGATAGATTTTCATCTCAAGTACAGGAAAGCACAAAAATATATACAAATCCCAAAAGCAGTACCAAATGGTTTGTTAGCCAGCAGCAGTTGTGCAAAGATTATAGCCCTCTACAGAAAATACCTTACCCAACTAGTTTTGCCCTTTAGATATTTCAGAACAGCTGTCATGGAAGATTCCTCCTGATTAGGGACTGCTCTCAAAAGAGGCTACAAAATGTATACTCATGGTCTGTATGTTTAGGCAGAATTCGGTATTTACTCCTATAAAATGGGTAGAAAAATTCTTCTACAGATCATTGATATTTCCAGATCACTTGGATTGGGGGTTTATTTGGTTGTTTTTTATTTTGTTTGTTTTATTTTGGTTTGGTTTGGTTTTTGTTTTTAGGATTAGTTAAAGTGACTACAGTTGGGAAGAGAATAGTTTGATGTGCATAAAAAGGCACAGGATTCTATCAGGATCTTGTTTTTTCTACATCAACTTCAAGGACACAGAGGTATCTAACCCATTACCAACAGGATCTAATAGCATAATAGCAGCCTTTTTTAAAAAGCCCAATTTCACTTGATGTCTCAACTATTCCTTCATGGAAAACTACTTGCTTTGGTTTTATTCTACTGTGACTAAGTATGATTTCATGGCCCTTCTAAACTTTCTATCAAGGAACAACATGGCAGTTGGAAGGATAATCCCTAAACCATAAGGACTTGGGACAATTTTACTGAACTTGAAACATTACCCCAAAACATATATTTAGGGTAAAATCTGGGAAGGTGCAGGAAAAGCACTCATTTTTCACTCGAAACTATTCAAGTGGCAACAACACAGCGTACTTACCAAAATTCTGCTTTGTCATGCCAGCTTTCTATCGTCCATTCACACAGCAGCTTCACAAAATCACCCCAGGCTTCTGCACTGAATGCATGTGCCTACCTCATTGCTTTGAAATCAGTGCCATTCTAATCCAGCGGGATAATTTTACAAGTGAAGTCATCAGAATATGTTAGCCTGTCTTTGGTAGCTCTAGGAAGAACTGTGTTTGTCAGAGTACCTTTAAATGTAAAGAGTCTGAGTATATACATCAAATTGCATTTCAGCAAGACTTCTTTATGATTGTCCCCCATTTATTATTTTTTAAACTCAGAACAACAGAAATTAATTTCACTTATGAGATTAGATTGATCAATTACTTCAAAATCACAAATGGTATCTGCCTGGTTTCTATAAAAGACAGATACCCTCTATAGAGATATCTATATAAAAGATAGATATCTCTTTAGAAATTTTGATGTCATTAGATGTTATTGCCTAGAGGAAAAAAGTCCTTTCACTCATGATTTGCTCAAAACTAAGCCTGCAGCTTTGCAAAAAAAAAAAAATACTATCTACATATACATATATAATATACAGCACTGTGTGAGTTTAAGGTATAAGTGATTTGACTTAACATATATTATGAAATAATGACCACAGTAAGTTTAGTTAACATCCATTATCTCATATTGATTCCAAAAAGAAAAAAAATGTTTTTTTTCCCTTGTGATGAAAACTCTTAGGATCTACTTTCTTAACTTTCAAATATGTCAGACAGCAGTGTTAACTATAGTCATCATGTTGTACACTGTGGACTTTTCTAAAGGCAAATTCCTATTAGTTCAATGCCACTTTCATCTCAGTAAATCATATACAAGTGGACTTAAAAAAAAAAATAGCCTGGACTCTTTCCCAAGAACTTCCCTCCACTGCATGCGTTACTGCTGCCCCTTTCTGGATCATGAGCGTGAATTGTTTTCATGGCTCTTGGCCATAGCCAAGACAGCCTGAGCTTGCTTTCCAGCCCTAATAATAATTATGTTCTATATAATAATTATTATTATTATCCTTTCTCCTGAGTAGAAAAGTGACTGGACCAACCCAAAAGGACTAGGCTCTTCTTCCTCTGATCCAGATTTTCTTCTATTGCAGATTGGATTTGAGGACCCTCCCCTCCAGGTACAGGCTGCAGCTTCAGGGAGTGGGAATGGAGCTGATTCTGAGCCAGCTCGTCATGTCTTCTCCTTTTCCTGGTTGAACTCCCTGAATGAATGATGTTCATTCCAGCTGCTGCCCTCGGTCTGCCTGGCTGAGATGCACACCAGCAGCAGGGAACCTAGATGAAATTAATATGATGCAGGTGATGAAAGGGACCTCTGAACAGGATTTCTGCAAAAAAACAAAAAACAAAAAACAAAAACAAAAAAAAGCCCTTTAATTCCAGATGACTTTCCAGAGGGAAAACAACTTTGAGAAAATAGTTGCTGAAAGTATTGGAAAAAAGAAACTTGATCTTATGCAAATCTTTTATTGTGTGGGAAACATTATGAAGAGTATGTAGGTGTGATACGTGTGTGTGCGTCCATAACGTGGCAGGTGTTGAAAAAGTGTGCACTACACTCTTGTCTCTAATAGGCATTGGCTTTTGTTATAATATCATAGTAGCTCTTACTCTTTTTCTTCTTTAACAATGCAGTTGGTCAGTGAAATTCAGTGTTAATTCAGAAGTGACTAATTTATCAATATATGGACAAAAGGTAAATCATTGACCAAAGATATGAAACATTTTACAAAGGTTTCCTCTTTTCCATAACAGATGTCACTGGATATATATCCAGAAATGTTCCTTAACTCTGGTGGCACTTTCGTAGTCCAGAAGGCTGAAGGCCTAGGACATTTCTGGTGACATTTTTCTAATCTAAGATAGATGTGCAGATATCAAGCACTTAAATTGAAAAAGAATTTCCAACAGGAACTGTCTACTTTCTTATGTACCTACTGAGGCACCAGCCTGGTGAACTATAGAATAACTGCATGTATTTAAATATATATACACACACAATACACATTTAAAATACATATATATATTTAAATCACCACTATAATGCCTCTTTCAAAACATAAATATTACTTTATTCTGTATGAACTCTTAAATAAATGCTGTTTTTAACAACTTAGTCTTATAATGACTTATTCAGTGTTTCATGTGACTTATTAGTACACTAGTCAAGTGTATTCAAAGGGTCCCAAGGGAAGAAGCATCTTCGTACTCCAAATTAATTTTGGAGCATTAAATATTCAATTGAATTTTTGTAAGTTATAACCCAACTACCAAAGATAAATGCATTGTAAAACTAACTGGATGTGCCTGTTCCGTTTTAGAACTGTGTAGTTTATATGCTTAAGAACTACAGTGATTAGGATTGGTATAGACATAAATGAGAAGAGCATTTGTGAAGTTATTAAAGTCAAAATATTTTTTTTGAAACATTTTCCCAGGTGCCATTTCATAGCAATTAAATTTGTTGCTTTAAGTGGAGAAGCTATCAAGCTTCTCCTATTAGAAGTAGGCACTGGAAAATAGCATAGAAAAACTATATTTTATGGTACCAAAGTAGTAGCTTGATAAAGTGAGTCTTTCTCATACCACAAACAAAAACAAAAACAAGCAGTGTTGGCCCTGTAGTTTGGAGGAATGCCCTGTGAACCCTTCTCCTCTTTGCCTTTCCTTTTTCCCCGCCCTCTACAATTATTTAACATCTTATAGTTAATCAGGGTTAGTTATTATTTCCATTATGAATTGATCTTCCATTCATAGAATTATCAAGTCTTAAAGCTGGAAGAAACTTCCTAAATTATTTAACCTCACCTCAGAGGAGTAATCTGAGGTACAGAGAGGCAATTGCAGTATCTGTGTAAGCCACTGGTGTATGTATGTATTTTTAGTAGGAAATTAATGAAAGGAGTTTTGTTTTCTCTTGTGCTGAAGTCAGGGTGAAGGAAGCCAGGAGTTGAGAGTTTTACTCCTATGAACATTGAAAAGGAAAAATAAAGTCCTGATTACCTTTGCAGCTTTTATTAAAAATATAAATATCCAACATTCTTTTACACAACCAAATGGACCAAGGATTGGGAAAGATGTTTTATTACTGAAACGTTTACAAGGAAAGGTTGATTCAAAGAGCTTACAGATTTTGTTTCACCCACCCAAGAGAATGACATTCTCTTTGGCTCAGACCACAACAAAATAAATTGGGTGACTTCTGTCTGCTTCAAAACATTTCCTTCTGGGTCTATACTTTCTAAACACCATTAAAAACACCTGGAAATGAAAACTAAAAGTAGACAATACAAATAACATTTTGTTGCTGTTACTGCACGTGAATACACTTTGTGCATGCTAATTAAGTATAGGCTCCCTTGCTGTATATCGTCTAGGCTTCACGCTATAAAAAATAAACAAATGGTATCAGAGCAACGCTATGGTACGGAATAGTGTAATTTTTTTTAATTTTTTTGTGCTAAATGCTGCATCTTTTTGGCCAAACGCACCGTTTTATTTCCCAATAATCTCCATCAGTTTCCTGTTGCTGTGAGCTTGCTGCGCTAACTGTTCGGCCCTGGCCATTTCCAAGACTTCTCGGAGGAGGTGGAAGGTGAGATCCAGCGAGATGGGAGGTTCCTCGGATCGCCTCTCCCTCTCCGGTGTCTCTTGGCGGCTGCCAAGGGCATTCTCTGCTCCGCGCTCGGCGGGACCTGCGGGGCTGTCGAGCGGGCGCCGGGGCAGCGGCAGCTGCTGCAGCAACGCGCGGAAAAAGTTGGCGGCCGCCTCGTCCGGCGAAAGGCGGCTGCCGCTGCCGCCAGCGACAGGTGAAGAGGCGGGCAAGAGGGGCGCAGCGGGGCTCTTGTTGAGGTTACCCAGGCGGAGGAAATATTCCTCCCCCATGCGGAGCAGGACGGGCCGAGCCTGCGGCTGTTGCGGCTGCTGGGGCTGCGGCGGCAGCTGAAAGAAATCCAGGGGCTGGGGCTGCTGAGGGACCTGCCGGGCGCCCGGGATGGGCCCCCGGCTGACGAGGGCCCTGCATGGCGGGCAGGGCAGGAGAGCTACCAGCAGGACGCCCGCGGACAAGAGCAGCGGCAGCCGCATGTTAGGGGCGCTCGCTGAGGCAGAGAGGTGGGCGGAGAGCGGAATGAGAGAAGGGAAGAGAGAGAAAGAAAGAGTTGGTCAGAGTTTAGCTTAAATGGGAGGTGCGCTCGGGGTCCTCCTACATGACACCCACAGACGTGCCTCAGGGGTTCGGGCAGGCACTGTCCGCGGTGCTGAAGCTCTCGAACTAGGACTTCTAGAGTTGGAGGGATGGGGGTTGGGGGCAGAAAAGGGGACTACTACAGAGCTCAGCACCAAGCTCAGCCCCTCGTCTTGCTGGAGTGACCCTTCTTCTTCCGAGACCCTCGAAGGATCTCTGAGTCCCCTTTCTAACGATCCCCAAAACTGATTCCCCGAGCTCTAAAGATCTACACATTTTAGATCTCCCCTGCCCCCACCCCGCCCTTTCCGGATGTTTCCGCGTCGTCCTCCAAATTGAGAACTGCTGCCTCGTCCTCCTCTTTCTCCATCCCAGCCCTTGCGTCCTTCTCTCAGGGGTCGGGATCGATAGCGGGGACTGGTCTACAATGCCAGCGAGGAGTAACTGGCAGTTGCAAGAATGATTAGCAGCCGTCTAAGTTTGCTTTTGACACATGCCGGCTACTACCGGAATCTTGAGGCACAGTCAGCACACACACAGGCACGCACACACACTCACACTCACACACATGCCCTCACAGGGACACCCGGCTCCGCCGCGCACACCGTGGCAGCTCAGGCAATTCAAAGTTGGAGGCGCGGTTCCGTCTAGGCACTCCCTACCTTCTGAGGTGCTTCTGCAGGTGAGTGGGGCGCTGCCGCCTCTCTGCAGAGGAACGTCTCCGGGCTTTTTCAGGGGTTTTCTTCCCTCTCCTTTCTGTCCTCACTCTCTTTTTCTTCACCTCTTATCTTTCTCTTCAGTCTCTCAACGGACTTGGGCTCTGAGTTTCTCCACACCAGAGCCTGGAGTGGGATTTTATAGCGTCGACCCTCTTCAGAAACCACGCAGCATTTGCCTAATAAGCTGACGCTCTCTTGACAGCTCGATTGCGTGCTGCCTCTGCTCCTGCATAAATCATAGGGCCCTGCCAGAGAATGAGGGGCAGAGTTTTGCTATCTCAACACTGAATCTCACATCCAATTATATCAACAGATATTTATCGCCTCCTTGGTGACGTCAACGAGCCCGAAAATGGAAGGGCTTCTTATGACTTGTCCATTGACAAGAATTCTTGAATGAGATTTCCCAAGTGTGAAAACATACTGACCTCTTACTATGAAAGGTCAAATTTGGGGTCAGAAAGAGACATCGCATGAGAGGGGATGGAAAAAGGAAATGCGAGGGACAGGAGGTCTATCAATGCACAGTCTTATGGGGAAAGCAGCAACCAGTTATAAGGGTTGAATCTGGATCCTCCTCTTTCCCCTCCCTCCTAACTTCTCTGACCAGTTGTCTCTGGCAACACCTCAGTATCTGAAAATATCCCTTTGCTAGAGACAAAGTGTCCAGTCAGCTTTCTGCCTGGTTAAGAATGATGAACAAGGAGATGGGATTGTAGGGATATCTAGCTTTTAAGCCTCTACCTGCTTTTTCTTCCCAAGAGCAAATAAAGGAATTACGAGTCTGCAGAAGCAAGACAAATATGTCTCTTGAAATGAGGCTAAAGTTTTTAAAAATGATTGGCAGGAGCAGCTTCTATGATGAAGTGGCCCAAACTAGGGTCAGTTGGGGATGCAGCAAGATTTTAAATTCCCCCAGAACTTCACTGCTCCTCCTTTGTCTCTCTTGTCAGAATCCAAATTAGAGAGAGAAAAGTTAAATAAGAGGTGCATGAGTTATACAATCTTCATTTGGTCTACTTGATGCAAACCCAATGAGAGAAGCATCCATTCTACCTTCCTATTCTATGTTGGGAAAGGCTTAAACTGCCTGATAACAGGGCTCAATTCATCAGTTACATATTTTCATTGATGAACATTGAGCCCATAAAAAGGTAATCTCATTCATTTTATTTCTAAATACTATCAACATCCATCATAGTATCCACATCAGGGACACCCAGATTGTTGTTTTTTTGTTTTTGTCTTTGTTTTTTGTCATCTCTTTTTCCAAATTTAAATGCATGGAAACCTGATAAATACAAAAATGCTCTCTGCACTACCACAGAATGCAATGCTAAGCTTATAAAACCATACTCAAATTTCAAATTAAATTGACACTATCATGTAAGTAGGAGGCAGTTACCTCTAATTTTGTAGTTCAGAATGCAATTCCAAACTCTGGTGTCTGTTATTTAAATCAGCTTCTAGATAACCATGAGTTCTTTATCAGAAATCTCCTGTTGCTCATTTCTGGTTAGCTTTGCTGCTTCCTTTGTAGCTACATGACAAATGATGCAATACATATTTCAACTTCCATTTTGGGTCTATACTAATCCACAACTGCTCTTAGAAACAGAAGGAAGGTAGAAAGAGAAATGCTGGCAGTTTCCAGAGAATTCAGCCCATAGTTGGATCATTGTGCTATGGAATGTACTTTTAGATGAAATGTACATATGAGAACAAAGAAATGTCTTCTGGGAAAGATGTAGGTTGTTAATAGAAAATCAGAATTATATAGAAAATGGTTGAGCTTCTATAGGAAAGCAGTGTTTTATGTTTATAGGGGGCATACAGAACCTTGGTTTTTGTTATTGTGAGCTTTTTTCCCCTTTGGATCTTAACTTTTTTGCTTACTTTCCTTTATGACCCCTTCACTGTCCCCAATGGCAGAATCAACTTAGAGGTCAATCTGGAGGTGGAAGTAGATTTGGAAGAAGTTCAGGTAAATGGATACAGAAGAAGAACTAGGAAAGGGATAAGACCATGAGTTTAGCTGGGAAGGCCTGAGAGGTTCCTCCAGAGAAGACACATGTTTTGGACTCTGACTACCCCATACCCCTTCAGATCTCTCTCCTTTGGTCCATATGAAGGATGTTGTTGTAGTATAGCTCCCTCATCACTGTTGAATTCTTGCTGTGAGATTTTCCTGGAGTAGGTAGTTGGTGGGGGACAGAGTGGCTCTGAATAGGGGTGAGCACAAAAGGCCTGGATCCCAGAGGAGGAGGAACTGGGCAGAGCAGCCCTTACTTGTGATTTATCCAAAAGTAAGATCTCATCAAATCACTGGATATTTACATTAGAAATGACTTGAAGAGATCATTTGGTTTAAATGAGAACCAGAGAGATTAAGTGACTTACCTAGGTAATGGTAAAGTCAGAATTAGAATCCAATTCTTTTGACTAGCAGCCTGTACTATTTCTGTAATATAACAATACCCTTTGAACCTCCCCCCTTTTCTAGCAGAGACACACAAACAAATAGAAATGAGAAGATGAAGTTAGATAAGCGACACATTCACACACCAATCCTAGACTTTCCTTATATTAATAAATCTCTTAAGACATGAGAACACAGAGATTTTCTGTGCATGCTGATGCCCCAGCACCTGATCTTAAATCTCTGGGTGCACACACTGCAATTTACCTTTCAGCTGAATCTTGTAGTTATAACATGAGGTTTTTAAATGTATTGCCAACTTATGATGCATTAATTTGATCTTCTACCTTAGTTCATATTGGAGAAAAAAGATCTTTGGATAAAATACAGAGTTATGTGGTTCTCAAAATAATGATATAAATGTGTGATTGGAGAAATAATATGATGCAGAGGACTTATATGTGCAGTAAACTAAATTTCCAAGTCCATAAAAATCACCACTGATAGATTTGATCCTACACGTAGTAATTGGGGAACCAACTTAAATGCTTTTAGAACCTAAAAACACAACCCAAGGAACATGGGCATAAAAACAGGGATTATTTTACATTTTAAACCACACTTTTTCAATAAAAACATACTATAAGATATAGTTAAATTTTAAAAGACATGGCACAGTAGCCCAATAAATAAAGAAGTATCAGAAATAATAGGTAACTGCTGGGCTTATCCCTGTCATCTGCATCTCCTTGCACTTTCAAGGAGTATCCCAACATGTGCTTCTATTAACAAAATTCATGGCAAACACAGTCTCCAAGTTTGCTAACTGAAACATTTGTTGAAAGGAATCTACCATCTCCAATGACAGTCTTTAAAAATGCCTAGGGTAGAGAGATGTTTTGGTAACTGTTTGTGCTTCAGATAGATTAGTAACTGCCTTCAGCTTCCATAGGTAGGACTAGGGAAAGGAAATCAAACAACACAAATACCTAACTGCTTCACCAGTAACAATAGCTTTTATTATCAAAGCCACTCATCCTCCTTGTAGAAACTTGGAAAAACCAGAAAAGTATAAAGAAAAATATAAAATTCCTCAGATTCCAAAATTGAAAGATAATCTCAGTTAATATTTTGTGTCCCTTGAGAATTTTTCCTGAGCACATACATTTATGTAATTGAAATAACAATATGCTTTTATTTTGAATCTCTGCTTTAAAAATAAAAACAAGAATAAAACAAATCTCTCTTATTTAAAACTTAAAAGTCGTTGGTTGAAGGAATCTTTTCCAGATTCCGAGATTAAGTTTAGGACCTGTGCTCAATGCTCTCCTAACATCACGAATGTCCTCCATCATGGAGTTCACATTTTTAAATAGTTACTGGTACAATATGTATCTTCCTCTCTGGACTGTAAGCTGTGTGGCAGAGATTGAGTGTCTTTATACACTTCCATATTCAATACTCACAGCCCTTAGCATAGTGTCAAAACATAGTAAATAACCAATACACTTTCTACATGGATGAACTACATGAAGTATAGAAAGCGACCCATAAGCCTATAATCAAGAAATAACTAGATGAACATTTTATAACTAAAATGTTATAGTCTGCTTTTTTTTTGTTTAAAATATCTCAAACATTTTCCTATATCTAAAGTGACATCCATTTTTTGACTGCAAGGAGATGTACTGCAATTTCTATACATTCATTATATATCACCATACTAATGACCTGCTTTTTAATTTTTCTTCTACATCTTGCCTTTGTACCTTTAAGTAATACATCTACAGAATCATTTCCTTATCTTTCAAATATAAATAAGATCTCTTAACTTCCAGATGGCAAATGAGAATATTAGTATCGCTTCAGCTTTTCAAACAGCTTCCTGCACCTTGATCTCCCAGGCTCTCTCCTCTGTACTTTTACTTCTAGATTGTCAGTGTTAATCTTTTCATAATCATAGTTAAATCTTCTGTGTTTTGACATAGGTTGATCTAAAACTTAAAAAGCAATATAGTTTTTAATCATTGACTATGTAAAAGTTGTTTGCTGCGTAACGAAGTCATAGACTCTGATTATATTTCCTTTCTTGTTTTTGTTTTACCAAGTTATCTTTTTTATATTCAACAGTCTGATTTTTCCTAGAATTATTGTCTTAATTTTGTTCCTGTTTTTTTTTTTTTTCAGATTTTCTATCATGACAAGTAATCTATCAAGCCTCCCCCTCTTTTTTAGGACCCCTCTCCTTGAGCACTATAACGTGCTGCTTTTAGACTGGTTACTTTCTAAATATGATGCACAGAATTGAATTCTCAATTGAATTCATTATCTAGAATCACATGATTTATTTCCTCCTGATTTCTGAATGTATTTTGCTGGACCACATCCGCAGTTAACTTTCTAAGAAAGGATGTATAGTAAGTAGATTTTCTGAATTCTTGCATTTCTGAAAATGATTTTATTTTACCCATATAACTGTTTTAAATGATACTTTAGCAAGGTACACAATTCCAGGTTGAACACAATCTTCCTCTAGAGCTTTGAAAGTATTGTTCCCTGTGTTTTATCATCCAGTGCTGCTGATGAGAAATCCAATGTCATTCTGATTCTCATTTCTTTATAGGACCCTTTTTCCTCTCTCTCATTCTCACTTGAAGATTTTAGTATTTTCTCTTTGTTGTTGATGTTCTGAAATTTCAAAATGATATTGGGTCTTTTTTTCATCTATCCATTTGAATTTGGGGATTCTTGCTCTTCAAGTATATGAAAATTTCTTGCATTATTTTTATGATAATCTCAGTTTTCTATTCCTTCTTTCTGAGACTTTTATTGTAAGATGTTCCTTCCCT